CCTCGATTCCGGCTCAGAGATCTCATTTGTAAACGCTGAAACGGCCCGCCGAATCAACCGCACACCGTCTAGCCCAGATCTCAAGGCAGCCCAGATACGCCTGGCCGACGGGACGCAAGTCCCCATTGCCGAGACCATCGAAGCAACGGTCAGGTTACGCGGAAAATCGTACCGCCACCGCTTCTCCGTACTACCACAACTAGACAACGCCGTACTAATAGGCATAGACCTCTGGGCGAAATTAGGAGTCGAGCTGCGCCCGCCGCCCAGACCTGTCACCGAGACAACAACCAAAGATGGAATCGCGACAGCCAGTATCAGCCCAGGAACTACCAGCGAGGCGCTAAGGCTACAGGCCTTTCTAAATAACGAACTTCCAAAGTTCGAATCGGTCCGCGGCCCGACCGACAAAGCCACGCACCAAATTCGGCTAAAACCGGGGCCGCCCATTAAACAACGATATCGGCCCCGTAATCCGGCCATGCAAGCCGTGATCGACCAAGAGGTCCAAAAGATGGAAGCCGAAGGAGTCATCGAGCCCTCCACCAGCGCCTGGAGCTCTCCGATAGTGCTGGCAAAGAAGAAAGACGGGACCTACCGATTTTGTATAGACTTCCGCCGATTAAACGCGGCCTCCGAGAAAGATGCATACCCGCTGCCTCACATTGCCGCCACCTTGGATAAGCTACGAGGCGCACACTACTTGTCCACGTTGGACCTACGCAGCGGGTATTGGCAAGTGCCACTAACTCCGGAGAGCCGCCCCGCAACCGCCTTCACGGTGCCAGGGAGAGGGCTGATGCAGTTCCGCGTCATGCCATTCGGACTGCATTCAGCACCGGCCACCTTCCAACGGCTGCTCGACACCGTGCTAGGACCCGAATTAGAGCCACACGTCCTCGTCTACTTGGACGACATAGTTGTCGCATCCCGTACTTTCGAGGAGCACCTAGGCCACTTGGCCGAAGTCTTTCGCCGCCTCCGTGACGCCCGACTCCGTCTCAACCCAGAAAAGTGTCACTTCTGCCGGCCAAGTCTCCGGTACCTCGGACACGTTATCGATCGGCACGGAATCCGGACGGACCCAGAGAAAGTGCGAGCCATTACCGATTGGCCTGCCCCCACGACCCTCCGCAGGGTTCGGCAATTTCTGGGGGTAGCGTCATGGTACCGCCGATTCATCGCTGACTTCTCCACTATCGCCGCCCCTCTCACTCGACTCACTAAAAAGAGAGCGCGCTGGACCTGGGCAAAAGAAGAAGAAACCGCGTTCCGGAAACTAAAACAGGCCTTAACCACCGCACCTGTCCTCGCCTGTCCAGATTTTGCGCGACCATTTCTACTACAAACCGACGCCAGCGCCCACGGGTTAGGGGCCGTATTAACCCAACACCTCGGCGAAGGAGAGCGGGTTATCGCGTACGCCAGCCGGACCCTCAACGCAGCCGAGAAGAATTATAGCGCTACCGAACTAGAGTGCTTGGCTGTCGTGTGGGGTATACGCCGGATGCGGGATTACCTCGAGGGCTACCGATTCACCGTCGTGACCGACCACCAAGCTTTAAAGTGGTTACAACACATCGAGGCCCCTACCGGACGACTAGCCCGCTGGATGTTCGAATTACAACAACATGATTTTGACATCCAGTACCGGCGCGGGACACTTAACCAGGTGGCAGATGCCCTCTCCCGCCTCCCGGAAGCTTTGGCGGTGACCCGGCCGAAATGCCGGTGGTACCACCGTAAACTAGCCGAAGTACGGAGACATCCGACCGATCACCCGGACTATAAAATCCAGGATCAACGATTGTACAGGCATATACTCCACGATCTGGACTTCCGGGAAACACCAGCCGAAGAGCAATGGAAGCAGTGCGTGCCTACAGACCAACGACCCGCCCTGCTTCAGCGAATGCACGACGACCCGGCCGCCGGGCACCTGGGCATTTCCAAAACATTGGCTCGGGTGGCCCAGCTATATTACTGGCCCGGCATGTTTCGGGAGATTGCCCGGTACGTCCGAGGGTGCGCTAATTGTGCGCGGCATAAGGCCAGTCAACGACGACCGGCTGGACGGATGATGGCCACCCCCGTCCGCGCACCATGGGAACAAGCCGCCGTAGACCTGATCGGTCCCCTGCCTCGATCCACTAGCGGCCATACCTGGCTATTAACCATACAAGACCGGTTCAGTAAGTGGATCGAGATGGTCCCGCTTAGAAAAGCCACCGCCGTAGCCGTAGCCCGAGCACTCACCGACCGCCTGATATACCGGCACGGGTGTCCGGTCGCCCTGGTGTCCGATAACGGGACTCAGTTCGTCGCGCAACGCATTAAGGCCTTGCTAGCTTCCTACGGGATACACTCCGCAATGCAATCCGGTAGAGCGAGCGAACCGTACGGTTAAAACAATGATCAGCCAGTACGTAGGCCGGCGGCACAAAGACTGGGACGAGCGAATCCCCGCCTTACAGTTCGCCATCAACACCGCCCGACATGAGGCCACCGGATACACTCCGGCCTACATCCTGCACGGCCGAGAGCTCGCCCGCCCACATCCAGAGGATCGACCAGGAACCGCACCAGCACCAGGACCAAGCACCCGCCAGACCCAGTTGGAGGACGCCTACAAGGTGGTCCGAATCCACCTCGCCCGGGCCTTCCAGCGGCAAGAGAAGCCGTACAACCTGAGGCGACGAGACTGGCGACCGCAGCTGGGCGAACGCGTCTGGAAACGCGACCGCCCCCTGTCCAGCAAGGCCAACGCGTTCAACGCCAAGCTGGCCCCGAAGTACAGCGGACCGATGACTGTCCGGAGGATCGTATCCCCCGTAATCGTTGACCTCAAGGACGCCCGAGGACGATGGCACCGCCACATCCATGTGCAGGACCTCAAGGCGGCATCCGAGGAAGAGGACGAGGAAACCATCGGGGCGTAGGACCGGGCCAGCCGCCGTGATTCCTCCAGCGCCATACCGCCCACGCCACTCGGAAGTTCCGAGCCACCTCCCCTACTGGACGGTGGACCGATACGGTTCGACCGATTCGGCCGACCACGTGCGATCCGCCGTCTAGAGAGGGGGTAGTGTAACGGCGTGTCCGTTACTAACGCCTCGCGGGCCGATCACCCGCCCGCCACTTGAGGCTATGGCGCCTAAGGCGCCCCTAAACACAAAAACATAACTGATACACGGGTCACCCTACCCCAGGGGCGCCCCACTACAACCCCCAGAGGCGCCCCACTACGACGCCGGCATTACCCCCACCACAGCCTCGATGTAGAGTGGGGGAACCGCCGGCAGGGTATATAAGCCGGCTCGACGGATGAGCCGGCACCAGTCCTGTTCCGGACCTCCTAGCCAGGCAACGGGCTTCTCGTTGTTACGCCGGGTTTCTCGGTTTCTGGCCTCCTACCTTTAGTATCGGGCAACGGGTTTCTCGTTGTTACGCCGGGTTTCCCGGTTTCCGGTCTCTTCCTGCTATACACCGGGTGACGGGTTTCTCGTCATTACGCCGGGTTTCCCGGTTTCCGGTCTCTTCCTGCTACACGCCGGGCAACGGGTTTCTCGTTGTTACGCCGGGTTTCCCGGTTTCCGGTCTCTTCCTGCTACACGCCGGGCAACGGGTTTCTCGTTGTTACGCCGGGTTTCCCGGTTTCCGGTCTCTTCCTGCTACACGCCGGGCAACGGGTTTCTCGTTGTTACGCCGGGTTTCCCGGTTTCCGGTCTCTTCCTGCTACACGCCGGGCAACGGGCTTCTCGTTGTTACGCCGGGTTTCCCGGTTTCCGGTCTCTTCCTGCTACACGCCGGGCAACGGGTTTCTCGTTGTTACGCCGGGTTTCCCGGTTTCCGGTCTCTTCCTGCTACACGCCGGGCAACGGGTTTCTCGTTGTTACGCCGGGTTTCCCGGTTTCCGGTCTCTTCCTGCTACACGCCGGGCAACGGGCTTCTCGTTGTTACGCCGGGTTTCCCGGTTTCCGGTCTCTTCCTGCTACACGCCGGGCAGCGGGTTTCTCGTTGTTACGCCGGGTTTCCCGGTTTCCGGTCTCTTCCTGCTATACACCGGGTGACGGGTTTCTCGTCATTACGCCGGGTTTCCCGGTTTCTGGTTTCTTCCTGCTATAGGCTATACACCTCCGTACACCGTATCTCTAAGTTATACCGGGTAATTTGTAAATCTTTTCCGGACACCGCTACAGGCTATACGCCTCCGCATTTTTGTTTATACCGAGTAGTCAATAAGTTTCTCCATTTAAGGCTTTATGCCAACAAACATTTTTGTTTATACCGAGTAGTCAATAAGTTTCTCCATTTAAGGCTTTATGCCAACAAACATTTTTGTTTATACCGAGTAGTCAATAAGTTTCTCTATTTAGGCCTTATGCCAACAAATATTTTGTTTATTTGTTTCTTTTTGAATAAACCAAAGCATTGTTAATAAGGAATAAGCGAGTCTGAATCTCCCCCTTCCTCCCGAATCCTGGAACCGGCGAGCCGATCCGCGGCGTCGGGAAAGGTGAACCGTTACATGATTAATTGATTAAATCGGTTTCAGACATGTGCCTTGTTAGTTATTTTATTAAAGTTTTTTGTGGCAAAAATTTATAGTTCCTAATTTTATCTATTGTATATTGTATATAATAATCTAATTGCTATTTAAGCAAAACTCTTCAAAAATCATTTTGTGATAAAGCAAATTAAAATTTTCAAAAATGTCTTACTTAATAAGGCAAACAGATCAACAATTATGATTATCATTACTATTTTCATAGTTATAGTTTATCATTTACTATTTTCTTTTTCTTAAATAATACAGCTCTTCTAAATTTCTTGTTGAAAGAAGTTCAAGAAATAAAGAAGAAAGCGGCAGTTGAGAGACAGGAAATAAATTTGAAATTAGACAGAATTTTGAGCTTTCATTATAGACTTTCACGTTTTCTCATGCCAAATGAAAAAGCATATTATTCGTCCTGATAACATGCCATCATATCCTTTAAAAAATGACGAACAAGTAAAACTTTCTGAGGAATACCTTAAGAATAATGAAAATTTTTGTAATTTAGTAAGTATTTTTCTATTTTGCTTTGTGATTTTTTATTTTAGTTGTGATTTAAATAAGTTATTGTGGGAAGTGATTATAGGTAAATACACATATTGCCTTATAAATTTTATTTATATGTGTTTTTTATAACAGGAGTAAGATACTTTTCCCTCAAATATTTCTTACTTGTGTCTAATAATTTTACTCAAGACATTATTTCATTTCTAGGTGCAATTCATGACAAGAGACCCAATGTATCTGTTGCGGATTTATCATTATATGCAGGACAATGGTTAAAGAATGTTCCATATAGAAAACAAGATGATGGAAGTTACGGAAGACGTGATAAAAAGTTTAAAGAAACAGATGAGCACTTATCCTCATAAGCATTTATCCATATTTTATTTTGTTTGGCAAACATGCATTGATATTTTATTTATTCACATTTTATTCACAGTTTCAGCAGTTATGTTTACAGTTTACATGTTCAATATAGTTTATGTTTAGTTTTATGTTTACACATATATATTTATAATAAACAGCATAATAATAAACTTGAAATTTGTGAGAAGTTATTCATTAACTTTCTTTTATAATGTTTTTTTCTTTTTTAGTTTAATATATATATATATATTATGTTTGCATGTTTCTATCTTATTTCAGTATATTTCTTAAATCAGTCATTTTCTTTCTCATGATGCGCTTTATTTTAGAAAAGATAAAAAACAAAAAATATTTTAAATATAGATGGACTATGAGATGCGTACCTGGCGGGCGTACATGGATGTTAGGCGCGTTATATCGAAATTTAAAGTTTTTGATATTACTTTGATAAGAAAATATTTCTCAAATAGTTATTATACATAAATTAGGTAAATTGTAAAATACAGTATAAAAAAATAATTGCTGCTTATACACAAATATCGACGTCAAATTGACGTCAAATCGACTTGTCAATAACTGGTTGAAATTTAAGCCCATTTTTAAGTCAAATCGACTACAAATTTCGACCGTCGATCGATCAGTATCATCGACGTCAAATCGACGTCGATTCGACAAATCATTTCTGGCTGGGATGCCTCGTTTGAATTTAACAAGAATTCATCATCAGTCATTCAACTTTTGGTTATTCATTTTTCTGCAGATTTGAAGTAATAAATATTAATTGACTAAACACTTGCAGTAATAAATATTAATTGATTAAACACTTGCAGTAATAAATATTAATTGATTAAACACTTCTAATAAAAGTACTTAAAAAGATTTGTCAAGGATGCTGCACACAAATAGAAGGTCAAAGATAATAACATATCACATGAATCCGAGGTTATGCTGCGTACGAATATATTCGCGCAATTTTAAGTGTATTGTATATTAAGAAAACCAAGATAACTACTGGCTATTCCGGAGATTATAATACTAAAGAGTAAAAACTGTCCAGAATCTATAAGATTAAAATCGTGAATATTTACACATGAAATATTTACATAGATTCTGTCTAGCATCTGTCCAGATAAACTATATCAGATAAACTAGACAGACACTAGAACCAAACCAAGTTTTATCAGGTAAATTTCCACACGGGTTTATATATAAATACATAAACTAAACAATTTTTTAAGAATTTTATTCATAATTATTATCAATTTTTTAAAGAATAATTATATTAAAAAATTATTTAACGTATAAAACGGGCAACAAGAGCCAAATCGCGGATGACAATGCGTTATCCTAACGAAACTAAATAATTTTCCGTTAGAATTAAATACCGGTGCACAAGGCACCAAATTTTTACTTGGACACGGCCAAGATTTTTAAATATGAAATAATCTCATATTTTGAGATTTAATTTCAATACCCCTTTAACCCCCCTACGGAAAATAAATAAATGAATGCAAAAGAAAAATATAGATCCAAAAATCGCTGAATCGGGAATCGAACCCGAGACCTTTCGCTTGCCGGGCGACTGCTCTTCCAGTCGCCCGGCAAGCGAAAGGTCTCGGGTTCGATTCCCGATTCAGCGATTTTGGATCTATATTTTTCTTTTGCATTCATTTATTTATTTTCCGTAGGGGGGTTAAAGGGGTATTGAAATTAAATCTCAAAATATGAGATTATTTCATATTTAAAAATCTTGGCCGTGTCCAAGTAAAAATTTGGTGCCTTGTGCACCGGTATTTAATTCTAACGGAAAATTATTTAGTTTCGTTAGAATAACGCATTGTCATCCGCAATTTGGCTCTTGTTGCCCGTCTTATACGTTAAATTTATATTTATATTACAGAGCCTTGTTAAAACTCTTATATTTAAAAAATTATATTATTAAATAAAAAAATTTTTTAGAATTTAGTTTATACTTCTAACGAGAGAGCACTGTTGAATGATGATATAAAAGCAAAACGAAGAAGGATGAAACTTGCTTCCCGAAATGATCGTTAATAAACGTGAAGGAATGTAAAAAATGCTAAAAATGCGCAGAAAGATCTTCTTTTCTTTTTATTGCTGCTTCAACTATGGGGATTGCTTATACACCATCGTCTATATTTAATTTTATTATTCATTTCATTATGCAGAAAGGATTCAAAATTATGAATTGTTCTACAGAGGAGGAACGCAGATTTAGCATAAGAGGCATAAGAAGCGAATAAAACCAAGAGGAGAAGCAACAAATCGGCATATGATCTATTATGGTAGATTATGATTTTAGTAGATTAATATATACAATATATATTTAATAAGATAGAATATTAATATATTTAAAAACTAAGAACGTAGATATTTGAGAATCGCCAGACAGAATTTAAAAAAGATAAAATTCTTCTCTCGACCGTACTGACAAATATTATTTATTCAATCACAACGTTTTGACCCTTCTTTGAGTCCTTATCAAGTGATCTAGATATACATAAACAAAGATTAATACAATAAAAAAAAACAAAATTACTTCACTAACAATATTACAAAATGATAAAAAGAAAAAGAAGCGAAACATACTTGTAAAAATAAAAATAAAATTATAATTTTAAGATGTCAAGAACGAACATAGTATTGGTTTGACAACACGTCAAGACTCTTAGACGAGTTATTGGAGACTAAACGACCTTTATTATTTTGTCGTAGATATTACTTAGATTGTCGGTATCCTTTTGTAAATTAATAGCGTTATTATTTCCCTTAATAAAAAATATTTTAGCGATTTCTCTTTTTCTTACGTGCTTTTCACTATGCAAAATAACAGGCAAAGTCCAGTCAAAATCGTGATCGAATTCAATTTTATGTTTGCTGATAACTGATAAATTACTTGAATGCATTTTGATGTTGTTGAAATGTTCCTTTACACATGTATATAGATGTCTCTTTGTTTGTCCGATGTATGACACGTTGCAATCCTTACAATTAATTTTGTAAACTACTTCAGTTTTTTTATCTGTAGGCAGTCTATCCTTGCCGAGTGCAATTAAATGGTTCGGTTTTTAGGAACATTATGAACAACATTAAAACAATAAATATTTTGCTCATTACTCGATTCATTCATGTTTCTGTGTTTTAAAAAATTAATCCTTTTTTTAACCCAACGATCGATTACATGTTTAGGAAAGCAGTTATTAAATAAAATCTGTTTCACGATGTTAATATTCTCGTCGTTGTTGAAAAAAAGAATGTTATTTATAAAATAAATTCATAATGTCAATAAAAAGATAATACAATAATATTATACTACAAAATTAAAAGATTTTTAATATGATTTACTTGAAACTTTCACGTATCCTTTTATTTCGACAAATTCTCCCTTCTCAAAACTATTATTATGTTCGTAATTAGAAATTTGAATTTCTAATTTGTAACGACCATCTGTAATAGATCCAGTACTAATCGTTTTAAAACTGTATGATAATGCATTAAACCTTGTTTTAATAAATCCTCGTACAACTGAAAAATATTTTATTTAAAAGTATATATATTAAGAAAATGTAATAGAAGAGAATATTGTATACATAAATATAAGAACTTACTATATATGTATAACAATAAATTATACATAATTTATTATCATCAAAAAAATTTAGACGTAGAAGAAGACATAATGAAATGAATAATAAAATTACTTACGAACACATAGATTCAAGCTATCCGGAAGATTTGATAGTTCTATCATTTTGGGTTGAAGTGCGTTAATTATTTTTTTAAGATCAAAAGAATCTAAACTATTAATAATTGTATTGGTAATCGTATATCGCGGATGACAATGCGTTATCCTAACGAAACTAAATAATTTTTCCTGCACAAGGCACCAAATTTTAACTTGGAGGCCAAGATTTTAAATATGAAATAATCTCATATTTTGATTTAAGAAAAATAAATAAATGAATGCAATATTCCGAAAATCGCTGAATCGGGAATCTTTTCGCTTGCCGGGCGACTGCTCTTGCTGAGCTATTCAGATCATTCTATACATATATATTAATGAATTTTTTAATGTATCAAATATAAGAGTTTTAACAAGGCTCTGTAATATATATAAATTTAACGTATATATGACAATGCGTTATCCTAACGAAACTAAATAAAAATTTTAAATATGAAATAATCTCATATTTTGAGATTTAATTTCAATGGAAAATTAAATGAATGCAAGAGAAAAATATAGATCCGAAAATTGAATCGGGAATTTTCGCTTACTTAGCTGATATTCAGATTTTCGATTCTATACTTTTGTTATATATATTAATGTTGGTATTTTTTATGTATCAAATATAAGAGTTTTAACAAGGCTCTGTAATATAAATATAAATTTAACGTATATCGCGGATGACAATGCGTTATCCTAACGAAACTAAATAATTTTCGTTAGAATTAAATACCGGTGCACAAGGCACCAAATACTTTTTTAAATATGAAATAATCTCATATTTTGAGATTTAATTTCAATAGTACGGTTAATAAAATTAAATCTCAAAATATGAGATTATTTCATATAAAATCTTGGCCGTGTCCAAGTAAAAATACCGGTATTTAATTCTAACGAAAATTATTTAGTTTCGTTAGGATAACGCATTGTCATCCGCGATATACGTTAAATTTATATTTATATTACAGAGCCTTGTTAAAACTCTTATATTTGATTGGCTTAAAAAATGCGTTTGTTTACGAAAAGTATAGAATCGAAAGGATCTGAATAGCTCAGCTGGAAGAGCAGTCGTCTCGATTCCCGATTCAGCGATTTTCGGATCTATATATTCATTTATTTATTTTCCGTACTCACATATTTAAAATCTTGAAGTTAAAATTTGTGGTGCACCGGTAATTTAATTCTAACGAAAAATTATTTAGTTTCGTTAGGATAACGCATTGTCATCCGCGATTTGGCATACGTTAAATATATTAATAATTGTATTGGATCGAATAATGAGTTCCTAAAGAAGAGTTCCTTGATTAAACTCTGGTAATTTCGTTTTCTTAGCTTTGGCTCCATCAACATGAATTATCTGTAATATATATAAAGTAATATTAGATTAAAATAACATATATAATTAAAATTATATGTTTATTAAAATTTATTGTTATTATTATCATTAATATTGTTATTATATTATTATTATTTTTGTTATTATTATTATTATATTAAGTTAAATAAGAATAAAAAATATAAATAAGTGTATTTAATGTAAATAATAATTCAAAGTAAATAATAATATATAAATATTATTAGCTGCGTTAAAGAAAAATAAGATTTTCTTAAAAATTGTTAATTACTCGATTTGGTTTTATAGCATATTGAATCCGCTCGATTTCATTATTCCATACCACTACTTGAATGTGGTGACGACTATTATTGTTTAAAATAAATTTCAGTAATTGATAATTTTTGGCTTTTCCAACTTTCGGACCATCAATTTCATCAATATAATCAATAACCTCTCTAAAAAAATTTTTAAACAAAAATGCATCATCTTATTTGTTAGAATATAAATAAATTTAAATATATATATACCTATGTATATATGTACATATATATATATACATACATAAATAACGCGCGTATTAAAATTTTTATTAACTATTGAGATACTGTAATAAACAATATTCATATTTAAAAAGGTGTAAAATGTGCAGATAAATGAATATAAGCGTGTGTGTATTTCTTATATTGTATGAATTAAAAGTAAAAAAATTTACACAGTGGAATCTTCGATTTGCTACGTAATATTACATTTAGACCCGGCTATTCTTTCTTTGGTCGCAGATATTGTGACGTCTCCACCGGAAGTGGATCGGTACGCGGCAATTAAAGAACGTCTCACCACCGTATTGGGCAAGACCAGCGCTTCGCGATTGCGGAAATTACTAACCGCGCATGAGTTAGGAGACGACAAATCATCCATCCTCCTACAGAAAATGCGTAATCTCGCGGAAGGGCAGGTGACCGACGGGGTCCTGCGCACGATATTTCTCGAGCAACTCCCCGAAAATGTTCGCGCCATTTTATCCATATCCGAAGTAGGCGACTTGAGCAGGTTAGCCAACCAGGCTAACAAAATATTAGACATGGCAAAACCCGCCATGTTGGCCGTCCAGCCAGTCACCGCTGAGACAGGAGTGCTCAGCAAGATGGCCACCGAGATCGCCACTCTAACCAAACAGATGGCGGCCTTGAACAAGCGGATCGGAAGCCGGTCGCGTAGCAGATCACGAAGACGCAGCGGATATAGAGACCAATTGAGGAGCAAATCTCGCGGCAAGGAAGATAACAAATTTTGTTTTTATCACTGCGGATTTGGAGCCAGAGCCTATAAGTGCGAAAGCCCATGCGCGTGGAAGGACGAAAAAAAGTCGGAAAACTAAGCCCACCGCCACGATGCCAGGCGATCGTCGGCGGGAACCCGGGGAGCGCACGCCTGAAAATTCGCGATAGAACAGACGGCACTACTTACCTGATCGATACCGGAGCGGACGTTTCCGCGATACCGCGAAATCTAATCCGTGGTACGCTCCGACCTACTGATTTAAGATTATTTGCAGCCAACAATACCGAAATATCTACATACGGCAGCAGAACATTGGTATTGGATTTCGGCCTACGACGACCTTTTCGCTGGAATTTCGTGCCGACTTTTGCCGGATCTGAAGAATCGCCGACTGGTCGACCAGCACACGACCTTGTTCACCAGCACACGCCCCAGTCACGCCGCACAGTTTTCCGTATTAACTGTAAGTGGCAGCTGTAAAATAAAAGATTTACTAAGAAAGTACATTGAGATCACGCGCCCTACGGCATTGTCAAATACAACGCATGAGGTAAAACACCACATCATGACTAGCGGCCCTCCGCTAGCAGAGCGACCGCGCAGGCTTGCGCCGGAGAAATACGCAGCAACAAAGAAGGAATTCAAGATGATGGTGGAGCAGGGGATCTGCCAACCATCTTCTTCACAATGGGCCAGCCCGCTACATCTAGTCAAAAAGGAAGATGGTAGTTGGAGACCGTGCGGGGATTTCCGCAGACTGAATAGTGTAACGGTCCCGGACAAGTATCCGCTTCCGCACATCCAAGACTTTACGTACCATTTGGCGGGATGTAAAATATTCAGCAAAATCGATCTTATTAAAGCGTATTTCCAGATACCAATGGCCGATGAGGATAAGCATAAGACTGCGGTAACAACTCCATTTGGGCTGTTCGAGTTCAATCGAATGCCATTTGGCTTGCGCAACGCCGCGCAAGCATTTCAACGATTCATCGATACAGCGTTACGTGGTTTGAAATATTGCCACGCATACATAGACGACGTTTTGGTAGCATCCAAGGACGGAGAAGAGCACAAGCAGCACCTGGAAGAGATATTCAGACGCTTGAAGAAGTTCGGCTTATCGATCAACGTAGCAAAGTGCAATTTTGCGGAAGAAGATATTGAATACCTAGGATACAAAGTAACCAAAGACGGCATACAACCTCTGGAGAGGAGAGTGACCGCAATTACTGAATACAAAAACCGACCAATACTGCCGAATTACGAAGATACTTGGGCATGATAAACTATTATCATAGGTTCATTAAAAATGCAGCGGAAGTTCTAGCGCCGCTCAACCGATACCTGATTGGTAAGAAGAAAAGAGACAAACAGGCCATCGACTGGTCAGCAGAGACGGAAGAGGCCTTCTATGAAAGTAAAAGGCGATTGGCAGAGACGACACTACTGGCACACCCTTTCGAGAACGCTAAGCTAGCAATTAAAACGGACGCTTCCAGCAAGGCGATGGGAGCGGTTCTCGAACAACTTCAAGGCGAAACGTGGAGACCGCTAGGTTTCTTCTCCAAGAAATTGTCCGAAACGCAGCAAAAGTACAGTACGTACGATCGCGAACTCCTAGCCATATATTCATCATTGAAATTTTTCAGACACATGGTGGAAGAACGCGAGGTGACAATCATAACGGATCACAAACCGTGACAATACGCATTCCAGAAACCGTTAGACAAGGCATCCGAGAGACAGAGAAGGCAGCTGAGCTTCATTAGCGAGATCACCACGAAGATTGTGTACATCGCTGGGAAGGAGAACACGGTAGCAAATACGTTGTCACGCGTAGAAGCCATTGACATGCCGACAGTAGTAACAACGGACGAATTATACGAAGAGCAACGGAAGGATGAAGAGCTAAAGACGCTACTCGAGTCTAACATGGCGCTCACCTTGAAGAAACTTTGTTTGGACGATGGAGACAAGACCATCTACTGCGACGTCACAGACGAAATTAGAATATACGTTCCGACATCGTTACGGAAAAGGATATTCAACGTCACGCACAGAGCCTCACACCCGAGCGGCCGTACCACGAAGAGGATGATCGTGCAGAAATTCGTGTGGCCTAGCATGAGGAAGGACATCGCACGATGGGCAAAGACATGCCTAGCCTGCCAGAGAGCTAAGATCCACAGGCATAATGTACGTAACCCTGAGTATATACCGATACCTAATGATCGATTCTCGCATATACACATAGATATAGTGGGACCCCTTCCTTCTTCAAGAGGGTTCCGATACTGCTTAACCATGATTGATAGAACTACAAGATGGCCAGAAGCAACGCCAATCGCAGATTGTACAGCGGACACAGTGGTCGACGCGTTTTTTAATACATGGATCTCGCAATATGGATCACCAACAACAATCACCACCGACAGAAGAGCGCAGTTTGAGTCAGCGCTATTCGACGCTCTAGTCAAATTAATTGGAAGCAGGAGGATTAGAACCACCGCCTACCATCCGCAATCGAATGGGATGATCGAAAGATGGCACCGTTCACTTAAATCAGCGATAAAGTGCCATAAGACGCATAATTGGGTAGATACCCTACCAATGGTTCTATTGGGCCTTCGTGCCAGCTATAAGGAGGACATCCAAACCTCAGTGGCGGAGCTAGTTTATGGCAGCACTCTAAAACTGCCCGGAGAATACTTCACCTACGAAGATCCGATCGGATACCTGCAAATCTTCGTGGAAAAGTTGAGGGAACGGATACGCCAAGTACGAAGACCGACGAGAGCTCATCACGCCAAGATCAAGACATTCATCCACAAGGACCTGGAGGACGCCACGCACGTGTTCGTTCGTGTGGACCACCTCAGAGGACCCTTGGAGTTGCCCTACAAAGGGCCATTTTGCATAATCAAAAGAACTTCTGATTTTCTTTACAGAATCGACTATAAAGGACAACCGGAGGAAATAAACACCGATAGGTAAAACCAGCTTTCACCGAGAGTGAGAGAGAGGAACTACCACCCCCAGAGGGCGGAGATCATCAGCAGCCAGGAACATCGGACGCATTACCCAGCCAAAGAGATGGACGATCCGAGCGGAGAATCCAATTCGCGACTCGAACTGCGAGTCACTAGAAGGGGAGTACTGTGGCGGCCCACTTGTCCAATTCCCTAGATGGGGAAATACGCAGATGGCGACAGCAGTCGACATCGACGCTCACGCAGGTCGCTTCGACTCAACCTTCTTACTAGTCATTATTCCGCCCCAGTATACGAGAGATTACGCCTCGTGTGTGATATTAAGTTAGTCGCCGCCAGATTTTGTATTTTTACAATAAACTTATTGTTAGAGTTAATAAAGTGGGTGGAACTATTGCTGTCCTAATCCTCAGCGTTACAAATCGCGTCCTAGAGTAACACGAGACTCAAAAGGCGTGTCGGCGAGAACGCGCACGTGGCCTGAGCGCCATAACACCTTCGACGCTGAAAATCAGCCTTAAAGTTTCCGGCGGCTGCCGATATCGTCTAGGGTGTAACATCCCGTCATTTTTTCGAAACCGTATTTTTGTGCGCTACAAATCTTTCTAAATAATTATTTAAGAAATGCAATTGTATTTCTCAATATTACTATTATTATTCATTATTCATAATTATTGGGACGATTTTACTAACCGTACTAACATATAGGGTCTTCCTAGTTCTAACTAAGCGGCTCAGCCAATCGGACAGCGTCACTAGACCTCACCTGAGCGCATACTTCTGTCACGTCCTAGTGACCTTCCTACTCTCTCTATTCCTAGGCTAGAAAGAATGGGGCGCTCTCTATTTTTTATGAGGCAACCTGCTTACACCGGCTTTACCTCAGGGACGCCGAGAGCACGGACTATACTGTGGAACTAGGGACCGAGTGTTGGGACGTTGGGGATGGGGAATTCTAGTTATTAGTAAAAAAAGGATTTCTACTAGCAATTCTTTCTAAACTATCTAATGAATTTATCAATTGATCGACTGTAATTTTCCCATTTAAATAGTTGTTAATTAATAAATTCAATAGCGAAAATATTATATAACTCTCAAATCTAAGGTTTTGAAAATCCCTCATGGGGTCCTATTATTAAACGATTATTTAAATTACATGAATTATCGGTTTTCGCGAAGTCTCGCGTATATCGTGTGCAATGGATCTGGAATGTTATCTAAACAGACGAGAAATTGGTCTAAATCAATGTTTCCCTCTAAAACGTCTGTTAGTAGGGCGATAATTATACTTATTATAGAATGGATTTCTTCGTTAATTAATTTCCGATTTTCTTCAATAGTAAATTCTGATGACATTAGAGAAATGATTCAAATATTTAAATAACTAGCATATTGAACGATTTTAAATGAGATATCCGGACACTGTTCTTCTAAGAATTTTATTAGATCCTGGGAGATTTCCTCCTCTATTTCCGATACTAAATCGCACAGTTCTGTGAATAATGATGATTCGAAAATGTCGTCGTTAAAATAAAAAAAATTAGGTAATTCGTCAATTGAGGTTCGATCTTTGTATCGGGGACGGTTCTTTCGTCCGTAAAGAGGGTTTTATCAAGGGCTTGTCGCTGGAGCCAACGTAAAATAGATGCGGCGCAGTTAGCACAATTCTTTTTACCTGCTCTATGATTTCTTTTATTCCGACGTGCGATCTTCTGGTTTAGTGTCTTCATGGGGCATAGAATAGTAGTGAAGTATCTAATTTAATAAAGGGATATTGTCAGGAGATATTAATAAGGAAAATGTACTGATAAAGATTGCATCAATGTCGTATTAATATCTTCGTTAATTTACCGCAGGATTCCGTCAATCGTATTTAGGTAGACATTAGGAGAATAATTAAATATCTAGGTAATTAGCATATTGTTCGATCTCAAATAAATTGTCTGGACACTGATCTTTTAATGATTGTATCAAGTCCTTACGTTGAGGTTGTTTCTGAGAAGTATCCTTTTCTATTTGTGATACTACAATAACTCACACAGTTCTGCAATTAGTAACTGTTCTGAGAATTGGTCTTTTATTGTTTGTACTTCGTCCGTAGGAT